GCTGCTGTTGTTGTTGTTGTTGCTGTTTCTGTTATTGCTGTTGCTTCTGCTGCTACTACCAACGATAACAGTGAGCATTTCCTTTTTCCATTCTATCATATAAAATAAATAAAAATTTGTGATGCTTTATACAAATACAAAAACAATTCAGAAACTCTCAACGTCTTCCCCCCCCCGTCTCAGTTTTTCTCTCAAAACAAAATCAAGACGGAAAAAAATAAGACCCTCAAAATTACAAGTCCGAATGTTTGTCGAACCAAAGTACACTGAAGCCACTGAAGTGAAGGGAAATCACTCTCCTCCTCTGTTGCTGACAAGGACAAAGCCTGCGTGAGTCTAAGAGTAAATCCAAAGTCAAAGAGAGTTGTTAGTGACCCAGTAGCATCTGAGTGTTAACTCTTCTGCATTTTAGGCTCTCGGACTCGCAACCGTAAGGTTGTGGGTTCGAATCCCGTCAAGGGCCCGACATTGTGTCCTTGGGAAAGGCGCTTTACACGAATTTTCCTCACTTCACCCAGGTGGGAATGGGTACCCGGCTATAGACAGAAAGATCTTGTCAGTTTGTTAGTGTTTGAGCGCTTAATCAGCTGCTTGCACTGTATGCTTCCCGGGAAGCTGAGAATGTTTCAGAGTGTTCTATGGTCTGCTGGGGTAACAATATAGTGTAAAGCGCATAGAGCCTGCTGTTGAGCGGGGATATGCGCTATACAATGCTATCTATTATTATTATTATTATTATGCCATTCTACAACAGCTGCAGGTCTGTTCTAATTGTTGTCTTGAGGAGTAGAAGCAGCTAGACGTGTGGGGGAGCTAGGGAAGAAAACATCCTCTCAAATCAGTTAGTTTTCTACAGAAGAACAGATGATGTTCCACTGTCTCTGAAGGGTAGTCATATAGTGGTTCTCCACAGTAATGAACAAGTGGTAAAACCTGAGGGAACAAGGTCACAAACAGGACAATGGTATGCTGGTAAGATAATAGATTGGTAAACCAAACAGAAAAAAAGAAAGAAAGGAGTGGGAGAGGTAGAAAGGGGGCGTGAAAGAGAGAGAGAGAGAG